CTAAAATACTCAGATTAATAAGAAAATAAAAACAAATGATATATATAATAATATAACTTGAACTGCATTGTCCAAACAACAGGGCCAACAATTAAATAGGAATTCAATGAAAATAGACGTACTGTATATTATTTACTTTGTAACGTTACTCCTGAAGGCTAATTAGTACCATGTACTGTATCTAATCACAAGTCTTCCTGTTCTGAAAGAAACAGTAATCATGCACCACACACGGCACTGTCTCTGTGTGAGCTTGTGGAGGAGAGACAGCAGAGTGTGTATGGCAGCAACAGCACAGGTTGGTACAAAACACTGCAATTACGTGCAATACAACTCCCGCTGAGAGGCAACTAGCAGGCATGATACTCTGCTGGATGAGCACTTGGTAACATCTGTGCTCTGCTGCTGCTAAATGTACCCTACCAGGTAAAAAAGAGCCAGAGTGTGTGTGAATGAAAGGAGAGTGGAAGCAGAGCAGAGAAAAGCAGCATATAAAGGACCAGTGCTGACTGGATTTCCTTTGACATGGCTGAAACTGTCAGGTCTTGGGGGGTTACATAAAGGGAAGTGATGGGAAGATGGCAGCAGAGCCAAAGCAGGTCCAACTGTAGACTGTATATATAAGAAGTGGACATAGTCATCGTCACATCACCCATTGGTTTGTGGACTATGGTTTTGAAGTCTCGAGTTTGGCATTTTGGCTGTCGCCATCTTGGTTATTTGCAATCAGTGAACAGAAGAGACCATATTTGGACTATGGAAGGGTGCGTAGTAGCGACCTGTCAATCACAATGTAGCCCCGCCCTAAAGCATCCCCTCTTTTATGGTCTGTTTGACTCTAAATGGACCATAATGTACTAAATGAACATCATGCTGTATTGAAGAAGACTTGAAACTAGAGATTGAGACCATAAACTCATGTTTACGATGTTTACTGAGGTAATAAATCAAGAGAGAAGTGGAGTCATTTTCTCATAGACTTCTATACAACCAGAGGAGTCGCCCCCTGGTGGACAGTAGAGAGAATGCATATTGGCTTCCCGTTTCAGAATCGAAGGTTACCATGGAGCATCATCAAGAACACTTCAATCCTGAAATTGCATCATTAACAGTATGTTAGTTTCTGGAGTGAACTACTTCCACTTCTTGGAAGTATGCTCAGAAGGTAGAACCTCGTCCCTCAATCAGAAGATCAGTGGTTCGATCCCTGATTCCACTTGTCTGTGTCGATGTGTCCTTGCATGGTAGTCCCTGTCATCAGAGTATGAATGGGTGAATGATGACATGTAGTGTTAAAGAGCTTTGAGTGGTCGGAAGACTAGAAATGCGCTATACAAATACAGTCCATTTACCATTCTTCCTGCATATTTACGAAATCTGTGACGGATTTTATATTTTGTTGGTGTCAAAAGACCCAAAACATCTGGCACATAGTTTGTTTTATGGGATGTTACAAACTAAATGACCAAAGGTATGTGGACATCAGCCATTTCAGCCATAATTGGGAGCTGAACAGATGATTCTGACACCATGAGCATCCATTGATGCTGCTATAACAGCCTCCACTCTTCTGATTTCAGGCTTTCCATCAGATGTTGGAACCTGGCTGCAGGGATTTGCTCCCATTCTGACACAAGAGCAACAATGAGGTGCAACACTGATGTTGGCTGATCTGGATTTGGTTGGTGTTCCACTTCACGTTATTACCACAGACTTTGAAGAACGCTATTGTCTAAAATATCTGTGTATGGTGGAGGATTAAGATTAAGACCACGTGTCTACATTTTTGGCAGAATACTGGAGTGTAGGATGCTTCCAGAGAACAGGCTCCTGGCAGAAAGTGGAGATCAAGCTTGAGGATGACTGGATGTTACAGGAGCTTACAAGCATATGAGCACATACACTGTTAGCATCACGATAAAATCACGCTTTAAATCATTGACTGAGAAAACTTTCCAGCCCTGCAGCGATTCATCATCACTGGAGCAGCCTGTCCTCTGATGATGGCAAATAAACAATTTGGCTTCCAGCCTGAGAGAAGTCTCACACAATCACATTACCATCCAGACTTCCCATTAACAACCTTAAATGTCTTGGATGCAGTCATATAGAGATTTAGTTTTTTTTATGCAGCTTTGTGTTTTAATATGTTTTAAGTTACAAAGTCCCATTGAGAGTTTGAAACAAGGTAACTAAATGAAGTTCAGTTCCATATGACACCAGGACCACTAGCAGTAGTGTTTTATTTCTTATTTTATTCTATAGTACTTTACTTCCATTATTAAGCTCTGAGTCATCTGCATGTTCACTGATGCAGAGCAGGGTTAATGCATGTTAGGGATGACAGACATGCAGCACATCTAAAAATACTCCCAATGTCCTTTTTCTTATCCTGGCCAAGGTATGCTCAATGTTCAGTAGGAAATTACAAGATAGTTTCTTTGCTAGCTATTTCTAACTTTGTCTATGTTTTGTGAATGTATCTTAAATTCAGCTCCTTGCATTACAAGGTCTTACTGTAATAGAGTACTCTAGCAATTTAGTATTGCTTTTCTATGAGGTTGGAGCAAATTATCCTGAATATTTTGTCTTTAGTGTGGGTCAAGAACCAAGACACTGCGTCCTGCATTTCCCATTATGCAACTCAATATTATCTTAGATATCACACATCTCAACCATAGACTTGCTGAAAGGCATAGGAAGTGGACGTAGTCATCATGACATCACCCATTGGTTTGTGGACTGCCTTTCTGAAGCCTTGAGTTCTGCGTTTTGGCCGTCGCCATCTTGGTTATTTGCAACCAGTGAACGGAAGTGACCATATTTGGACTATGGAAGGGTTAAAGCCGTGGTAGCGACCTGTCAATCACTGTGTAGCCCCGCCCTAAAGCATACCCTGCTTTATGGTCTGTTTGACTCTAAATGGACTAAATGAACATCATGCTGTATTGAAGAAGACTTGAAACTAGGGATTGAGACCATAAACTCATGTTTACAATGTTTAAGACACAGCATTGGCAAATGTCCTTGGGTAAGATACTGAATCCAAAATAGCTCCCAAATTGTTGGCAAATTGGTGCGTGTGTGCTTGAATGGACATTTGGTTTAGGTTGATGGGCTGGTGGCACCTTGCATGGCAGCCTCTGCCATATAAATGGTTGGAAAGACTAGAAAGGCTCTATATAAATGCATGTCCATCGACATGTATGCCTAGAATACATAATCACCCACTTCATGTAGGTATATAAAATAAGCTATTACGTTAATAAGCCATAATGTATTTCTTTGTACTATTGCAGGGGTCGCCAATAGGCGGACCGCGGTCCGGATCCGGACCCAGACACCGTTGTATCCGGACCCAGGACCTAAAACCGATAATTGAGAATTATTAAATTTTGACGGAGCGGCTCTATTTTAACCGGCGCAGCTTTTTCAGCCTTTACGGTACTTGTTCAGCGGTGCAAATCACATCAAGTGATGCAGCTCAGCCAATCAAATATGAGTATTCTGACAAGTTTCCTGAATCGAGTGAGATACACACACGGGAGAGACGAGGAGAGGACGAAGAGTAGGAGAATAATTACGTGAGTCAGAGAAGTTATTTCACATGACGAGAGAAAAGTGGTCCGCGAGACCAGAGAGACCAGAGTCTTTAACCAAGAATGAACAGACTCTTATAGGTTAATTCTTCACACGGACAGTTTATAACCAGTAGGTCTCACATGTTCAGAGACCGTGGCGATTATTAAAAGCAGTAATGTAAAGCACAACTCTTTTGAGCAAATATACCCACTCACATCTGAAATGAAGTCACAGAAAATAAACCTAAGAGCCCAATATGATCAGAATCCTAACGCATTAGTTCACTGTCCAATGATATTAACAGAGAGAATAGAGCTGAAACAAGTGGTTTAATAACCACAGATAAAGTCCATGCTCACTGATTTATCTTGTTAGAATATGAGAAAAATGTGGCTTTTTGATTGACATCACTTCACACCTGAATGAAGTGAATTTTAAACTGCAGGGCAAATCGGTGATATTCATTCATTTTTCTAAAATGAAGTACTTTATTTTAAGATGCACATTTTTCAAAAGCTTTCTGTTATGTAATTTATTCTTTAATCCAGCCATTATTTTACTTGAAATGAGAAGAACATTTATTTATGTATTTCTATGTATTATTCATAATCCATCCAGTTAAATTTGAAAACTGAGAATAATAATTGTTAAAATATAATGTGTGATGTGTCCTTTATTTGATTTGAAAGTTGACTACACAGAGATGTTGTTACTACTACTAGGCTACTTCTATGTATAAATATACTGTGTATATATATGGCACTAAATAGCGCAAGTTAGATATTATTGTAATGTTTCGGACCTTTGCCTGAGGAGATTTTCTCAATCTGGACCTTTTGGAATTTTAATTGAATACCCCTGCTCTATTGTATTCTTGTTTGATACAGTATATAAACTTTATGCTTTTGTCCATTGTTGCTTTTTGTATATATTTATTAAGCTATTGGTCAGTGAAGAGCTATACATAGACTTTCTGTGCTCTTAATGTGGCCAAATCTAACAACCTAATGCATATGTAATCCAGTAGCCTATACAAAAACACAGACACTTCATAACCAGCTCAAAGTGAACAATTACATTTATCATAATAAAAAAGATATACAATTCGGGCCAGTCGAGACAACGCGACTGCACTGATGAATGTTCCGGCGGCTTGTATGTTCAAAAACAGAGTCAAATCCAGAGAAGCAGATTAATTCCAGACTAGCCTACAGACATGTTTGCAGCCTCAGGCTTTCACAGCTCAGTGAGTTTAAACAGAGCTCCACCCGAACACTTTATTTTCTGTCGGAGTCTGTTGTAAAACGCGGTTCATCTTTGTGGTGTGTTTTGTGCGTTAATGTCCCTGTCGCTGACCGCGCGCCGCGCCGTCCCCACACAGTCAACCACAGTCAAAGAATAGTTGAACACCGGCTTACCTTCGACAGCCCGTACCGTTGGCATTATCCATAGAAAATATAAGATATCCATAATCATAGTAATTCCGGGCACTGGACTGTAAAAAGTCAATGCGTTCATAGCGCCGTCCAGCAGCGGGCCATTGAATGTGGATTCATTCAGAGCTGCAGAGCATCCTCCTCCTCATCACCATCAGCAGCAGCAGTGGAGGGATAATGGATGAGGAGCTGCTGCACCGGCCAGTTTGGGCGAAACCAATAGGAAGGGGCGGAAAATCACAGCACAACACCGGCATCCCGCTGACCGCAGGGTTTACCTGCGGAACTCGTCCTGGATAGGAAGTGAAAGAAGTATTATTACGATTATAACGGTTTGTTTAGGATGAGTTACAGGTGAAAGTCTTGATCATAGCAGTACTGTTTATTTCCTATAAAGGAAATACACTTATTTACTCAAGAACTATGCCTACTAATGCACTATTTTCGGTAGTAGTATTTTTGGGGAGACTGGGGTTGGTTGGCACACTTTTCACTCTGCCGTATTTCCCTGGCATGAGTTATGTTAGAATAGTTGCACCAGCAGCAAATTAAAGATTAAGGTCTCAGTTAAATATGTTTTAATGTATACATGATTTCGAAAATTAGGTGATTTAAGATTTAAGTGATGTGGTGCATTTGTGGGCACAAATTATCAATCTTTCAAAATGTTTTTTTAATCTATCAAAATACCCCAACAAAAGATACAGTAACAGTTAAATATGAATGGACACATTTTACCTTGTGATGAAGCCAGTTACCATCACTCATCAAAGACTTTAAAATCTTAATTAAAATGTATAGCTTATTCCTATGTCTAGTAACTAGAACCAACACATTTCCAATAGCTCTATCTAACAGTTTTATAATATATTTAGCCCACAGAACATGTTCTACGTTCGATACTATACAACTGAAATGTTACCCTCACAAGGTAGTTATTGACTTTCAAATGTTTTAACATAGTGGATGAGTGGATGTCAAGAAAGCAAACATTATGATGTTACATTTTTGTTGCTGTGACCTTCAAAGGACCAGAAAATAGCTGTGTGCCAACCAATCACAGTCTCCCCTACTTGAGCATTACACCTTGTACTCCCAACTCGTCAAAAACACCCACTTTGACAGTAGAGATCGAACAGAGGTCCCCTTTAACGATGCACCAGGCCTTCAACTAACTTTAGTGTTATCACTCTCGTGGCATTTGTGGACGGTAAGAGCATGTGATGAAGTATAAGTGCAATAGAGTCTGTTTGCTGTGGGCAGGAGGGTGGAGGGTGGGGTCAAAGAAACACAAGACTTTCAACCAGGAGACCATTGTTCATGTCCCATGTGCAACTAAAGATAAACATTGACTATGTATACAACATATATATATACAGGCCATCCCGACACATTCAAAACTAATGCTGGTACTTTGACTTAAGTAAAGGAGTTGAATATGAATACCACCACTGTTTATATATTTCTACACTATTTCATTCCTTCCTCTTTTTTCTATTTATTCATTTTAAAGCCTCACACCAACTTTCACTTTGATCAATTCTTCTTTCTTTGTCATTTAATTTCTATCGATCTAATGTGCCTGGCAGATTCAAATTCGTCATTATTACTGTGCTTACTTCAGCATTTTACACTCTGAGACTGGTCTGTCAGTCTTTAACTGTCAACTGAAAAGAGACTTAACGGGTAATTACATTAATTTAGTCTGGCGAGACAGTCTTAAAACATATAAGAAGGCCCTCCGTAATACCAGAGCAGCTTATTACTCATCATTGATTGAGAAAAAGAAGAACAAGCCCAGGTTTCTCTTCAGCACTGTAGCCAGACTGACAGAGAGTCACAGCTCTGTTGAGCCGAGTATTCCTGTAGACCTCAGCAGTAATGACTACATCTTCTTCTTCTTCTTCTTCTTTTTGTTTAACTGAAACGTGATGGTTAAATGACTTCATGTACTTCTTTAATGATAAGATTATAACTATTAGAGAGAAAGATTGTAGCCGACCCCTCTCATCCTGGACATAAACTGTTTGAGCCTCTTCCATCTGGCAGGAGGCTGCAGTCCATCACGACCAAGATCTCACGCCACATGAACAGTTTTTCCCGTCTTCAGTTGGACTCATCAACAAAGCCAGGTGTAACAGGCCAAATTAACCCCCGCCCAGAGTATACCTGGGTATACTTTGACTGGGGGTATACTATGGCATGTTACAGGCAGGATAAGGGTGGTGGACAAAAACCGTTACGGTATGTAGGTTAAAGAGAAAGCATACGACAACGCCAATACATCGGGCAAGTCCACACATATGAAGGGCCACCATCCCGGTCTGTCAGTGACGGGGGACACTCCGTTGTGGAAAACAAAGGATTTCAAAATCTGGTTAAAGTGCTTGAGCCACGTTACGAAATCCCCTCACGCACCCACTTCAGCATGAAGATCGTTCCAGACCTCTATGAGAAGGACAGCTCACTTCATCACGGTGGAGTGGATATTCAAAGTCCGGGGCTGCAGACACGCACGGCCCCTCTGTAAGAGTACACAGACACACATCTGGCGCTACCCTTTACCCAGCTAATGTAGATATATTCTCATCTTTATGAAAATAAATATCTTAAATATTTTTGTTTTCATGTAAGACTATAGCCCAAAGTTATTTGCTTTAAGTGTTCTTGAAGTTCAAAATGGAAAGCAAAATTATATTTGTCTTGTGAGGAATTTAAGTTTTGAAGCTCCTAATTATGGATATTATGTGATACAATGTATTTACTTAAGGAAGTTTAGACCAAGAAGTGTGTTTGAGTGTCTGTGTGATCAGGTTTGAGGAATGTGCTGGAGCGGGGGTTTGTGCGAAAGTGGCTGAGTGAGGTGTTAAGATCAGAACAATAGGTCAACGGCCCAGGAGGGGCTTATTGGATTTCAGCCAATCATTGAGCTGATCGATATGCAATGTGACTTTTCAGAGACTTTGGGGGAAAAAGGAGATGTGAATCCCGGAGAGATTCAGACCTCCTTGGTACCATGGGGCAGATACACCAATCTGTCGTGCGGTGCGGACGGGGCCTCAATTTCATGGAATTTATGTTTGTTTTGTTATTATTAGTGCGATTCGGTTTGTAACTGTTTGTAACTGTTTTTGTGTTTGTTGGATAATAAATCCATTAAGATTTTGACTTAAACCTTCTGTTGTGTTTTGGAGGAGATTGAGAGCACATGGCTGCAGGGAGGGGGGCGATTTCTCTGTGTCCAAAAGTTCGGCCCTAACAGTATCCTCCCCTTTTCTTTGCTGATCCGAAAAATGATACGAACCATGACTGAAAAACCGTGATCCGAACCGAACTGTGAGTTCTGTGATCCGTTGCACCCCGAGTCAGAGCACAGAACCTATTGAGGGACAACACGCTCTATCTTCTGAGCACCGAAACCCCACCAATATGTAGAAAGTCACACAACTGATTCGCGACTGCTTTCTCAAGGATCTTAAGCCATGTCCACACTACCCCATTTCCATTTGAAAACGCATATGTTTTGTTTGTTTACACTGAGCGTCCACACTACGCCGGAGATTCAGAGCACCGAAAACGGAGGAGTTTGAAAACGCTCCCGAGGACGGATAAGTTTGAAAACGCCGGGGTTGCGTATTCGTGTGGACGGTCATTGATTATCGATCTACTACCAGGGTAATTTAACAATGAAATAGACGCTGACGTATTTACGCCAAGATGATGTTATATTGAGTATTGAAGGAGCTGCTACAATGTTACCATAGCCTAGCACCGATCGATCTGAGCTCCATTGAGAAGACAAGTACAAATCGGCATCATTACGTAGTTATTTCGGAGTCCCTTTTTGCCGGTTTATTGCCGTTAAATCACAGTCAAATCTGTTTATTTTGTGTTCATACAGCTGTAGTAAACAGCCGACGTGTGGCTTGCTAGACACAGTGAATACACTACGATAAAATCCACAGAGCTCCTCCAAACAATGTTATGAACCCAGACATGATGCCGTTTAATTTCCCGTGATATCTGGAACTTCCACAACACGTACTAAGCAGAAATAGAGGTTATTTTTACATGGTTGATGGTGGACAGTTGAATGGCTTTCAGGGCGATAAGCCACGCCCCCTCTCCAGCGCGATTCCCGCGAATGAACACAAATAGTCCCCGGCGAGACCGGCGGTGCGAATAACGCGATTAACATTTGGTATGACCACAGCATTAATCTGGACGAAGATCATCTCGAAAATCATGCTGAAACGCTGTGTGGACGGAGATCGTTTTAAAAGGTATTAGTGTGGATGTAGCCTTAGAGACTGGATGTAGCCTTAGAGACGGGAAGGTTGGAGATCGGTCTATAGTTAGCCAACACCTCTGGATCAAGAGTGGGCTTCTTAAGAAGAGGTTTAATTACAGCTACTTTGAAGGACTGTGGTACATGGCCTGTTAGTAAAGACAGATTGATCATATCTAGTAAAGACGTGCTAACTAACGGTAACACTTCTTTAAGCAGCCTAGTCAGTATAGGGTCTAAGAGACAGGTAGAAGGTTTAGATGAAGAAATTTTTGAAGTCAATTTGTCAACGTTGATGGGAGAAAAGCTTTTTCTAAGGTTACTCTATTTGAGGATTGATCGGTACTGGTTGAGGGCAGGAGATTATTAATTATCAGAATCAGAACCGTTGCACATACAAGGAATTTGACAAAATACAAGACATGATTTAAAAATAGAGACAAAAATATGGTAAATAAACAAACAAATAAGAGAATATTAAATCAAGTATATTATTAAAGTGTCATGTGTATATTAACAGGGAAAAGAGTTCAAGGGTGTTGAAGAAGAAATCATCCTGGGGATGTAAGTGTCAGAGTAAGTGGGGGTCCCGGTGTAACAGGCCATAGTATACCCCCAGTCCGGACTATACCTGGGGTTAAAGGGGCCTAGGCTAAATTATACCCCGGGTATATTATGGCCTAGGCCAGGGGTCGGCAACCTGCGGCTCTTTAGCCTCTCTATTGTGGCTCCCTGAGGTCCCCAACTGGCGCACCGGATCCGGACCCAGGAATTAAAACCGATAGATAATTTGGAATTATACACATTGGACACAGAGTTAAAACTTTAACTGGCGCATCTTATTCAGCCGTTACGGCATTTGTTCGGCGGTG